TTGATTCAGTTATAGAGCTTTCTTGTTTTCCCGGGAAAATAAAAGCCAGAAACGACGAATCTAGAAATTCCGAATCGGTCCTCGTATTTCTAATTTGTTACGAGTAATGCCTTAATTATCTTTTTTTTTCGTTAAATTACCCCTCAAATTAATCGGTCCTTGAATCGGTGATTATGATATATTATCAGTTATCACCTTCACAAATTGGAGAATTCCAAATTACGACCGGTCATCGTTTCGGTTAGTACTCGACCGGTCCGGTATGTTAATTAGCTCTTGTTAATGTTGAGCAAGCTTAATCAGCCTTATAAGTAGTACAATCATCTCACTTCCTTCTGTTAATAAACCTTGTTTAAGAGACTACGAATATGTAGAAAGAAACTCAACAGAGAATATTAAGGATCGTTTCGATCGAAAGTATAAATTATTCTCAAGATTTTTAAAAATTAGTCGAAAAGGCAATTGCAAAGACTAAAAAAAAACTGTCATTCCGCAGATGAGTGGATATATCGATGTGTGTCTCTCTTGTAGGAAGCAAAAGAATGGATTCTAACCAGAGGATATGATTTGCTTGAGCAGTGTTCGATCATGAGGACAATGCTTTGTGAACCTCTGCTGTCACTTCTTGGGGAGCCTTCTCGGCGTGGATGTTTGTAAGAACGGATTTCTTCCCGTAGTAATTGATCACCTGTTAGCAAGTGAAGCATATGAACATGAAGGTGCTCGCAAAAGAAAATGATGCTTGGATGCAAAACAGTACAATTTTCCATTTTTAATAAGCCTGATGATCAGGAGATGTGTTGCAAAATAAGAGGTGAATACATGAAATAGTAATCTATACCGGTTCAGTTTGACTGTGAAAAGCTGCAAGCCTCGACCTTAGAACTTCAGCGTTATCATCTTTGCGTTGGATCAGAGGCTCTCCGGTAATCTTCAATGGCAAATAACGAAGTTAACCAGTTGTTTAACAGATGTTTGGGAGGGACTATGAATAAACAAACAAAAGATATGAAAATTTATTGTAAAAATCTTACATCATCAACTCCGGGGGTTTTGGGAGGGGCGAATTTTGTGTGGTAACTTCTTCCACTAGATGGGTGGATCCATCTCCCAGTTATTCTTTCCTCCAAGACTGAGTCATCGATAGCAAAGTTGAGAACTTTGTCGATTTCAGTTCCTCGCTTCTTAAGCATCTCATCGAGCTGCAAACAGAAGACAAACCACCATGGTTAGAAGTAGTTTAAAACCAAAAGAGCAAAAAGAGAGACTGAAGCAACAGTGAGTTATCTATTGACCAGCACCTTCTCTGCCTGAGTAACGGTCCTTGGAAACCCATCAAGGATAAAACCTTTCTGACATTTTGGCTTGTTCATGGCTTCATCAATTATCCCAACAACCAAATCATCAGAGACAAGCTCTCCCTGTGGAAAAGAAACGAGAATCCAATCAACAAAAAGCAATGGAAACAGTGAGAAACAAGATTTAAAGAAAGAAAGAAAAAGAGCTGACCTTGTCCATAGCTTCTTTGGCCTTGACACCAAGAGGGGTCTTAGCAGCAACAGCAGCTCTTAACATGTCTCCAGTGGATAAATGACACAAGCAATACTCATCCTTCACTACCGGAGATTGCGTACCTTTCCCCGACCCTGGAGGTCCTGCAATTCACACAAAAACAAAAGTATTCTCAACACTCCATCCAAGAAATCACACAGGTGGAATTATCCGCATCCGCACCTTGATTCTCACACCGAAAAGGACAACTTATTCACACTTACAAAACACAACACAAAGAACCCTTAATTTCACCAAATTATCTTTGCCATGGTTCAAAACTTAGGTAGCCGAACCAAAAAATGAAATTTCAACAAGAGACAACTTATTCACACTATCAAACACACACGAAAAACAGAGCCTTAAACATCACCACCATTAACATTCCAAGTAACAGACCCAAATAATGAAATTATAGATCTACAAAGTCTGAGCTCAAATAAAAAAAAAAACAGAACCAATTGAGAAGAGAATCTAGTGTAATATTATTTCATCATTCCAATAACACGAAACATGACTCGAGTTTAAGCTCACTGATACAATCTCTCAGATCTAAAACGACTCTTCCAAAAGTTTCGAATTTCACCAAATTCTCCACAGAAAAACAATCAAACACAAACGAAATCCTGGATCCAACGAAAAGCGAGCAAAATTTAGTCCATCGCCGGAAAAAAAAAGGACCGATTGATGACATACCTATGAAGATGAGGCGTTTGTCGCGCTTTTGAGCACATTTGAGGCGGCGGAGAAGCTCCGACATGAGATCCACCGTCTGAACATCTTCCAAATCGGCCATAGCTGATCTAGTTTCGCCTTCTGTGTAGCTTCAAAGTCTTCGTTTTTCTCGAAAGGGTTTTTGCAAATCACAAGTCAAAAGGGATATAATAGTAACCGGGTTCGGGTTTCGCATACTAGGGTCTCTTAATTTGGGTCGGATCATTAAAATCACGTTAATTTACACAAGTGCCACTCACTTTTTTTTTTTTTAGTCACTCACGTAAAAGTTGAAACTTTATCATTTTTCTTGGTTTGATTAA